TAGAAGGTGAGATTTATGAATGGACTTTTGTCTGTTTTGTTCACTATTGTATCTCCAGTGCCTTGAACAGTGCCTGACACAGAGTAGACACAGGTATAAATATTGAGTGAGTAAATGAATGCATGGGATAAAAAACAAGGGACTTAAACTTAGCTGGGGACACATTAACAAGTCATTTATCCTCTCTAGGCTTCGGTTTCCTTGGATGTAAAATTGACTTTTTGCACTAGATCAGTGGTCAGCAAACTTTTGAGACGGAACGTACCCAAAGAACCGCATGTGGCTCATGAGCTGCAGTTTGCCGACCCCTGCACTAGCTAGTTCTAAGGTTCTCTGCAGCTGACATGCAAATATCCTTGAATTAACCATAAGAATTGGAAGCAGTTGTATGGCAAGAAAGGGTCTGAAGAGGGTCCATCTGAAGATTTGGTTCAAGTTCTAGTGACACCGCTTGTCTGGGTCTTGGTTTCCACAACAAATCAAAAGGGCTCCACCCAGCGACCACTAAGGTTACTTTCAGCACTTAAATTGTACAACTATTATAGAAAAAAAAAAGTCCTTAAAAAAAGAAAAACATGGCTACCATACTCCTCAATACCACACGGTGGCGCATTTGTCTACCATTGTTTTTAAGAGGACGTTGCTGTGCCACGTTCATAACTAAACGGCGCCGGCTATTGTAAAATATCTTTCCCTGAGTTGCTCCTTCATCAGCTATTACTGATTTGTTTAAATAACAAATAACAAAAATATTTAAATTGAATTTTTTTCAGATAAGAGGGCATAAATCTCAAAAGCAAAACAGTGAGCTGATGTTTCAGCTGAATCTTTGTCACCAACATGATTTAAAGACCAAGCTTTGAAAAGCTGAAAAATAAAAGAAGTCTATGCCAGTGTTAGGTGAGTGAGCCCACAGCTACACTAAATTACTTCTAAAAGTATGTGGCCACGTATCTGTCTGCATATAACCAACAATGCTCCCTTTAGGAGGTAGGAAAGATAAGGAAGGAATGGACTGTTTATATTCCAGGGCCTTTTTGATTGCTTGGAAGAGCTGTTAAAGACTGATAAATAAAGAAGATTGTGAACGGTGCATGGCATCCAGTAAACCCTCAATTCATAGTAGACATTATCATTATTGTAATTAATATTATTGTCATCCTCTGGCTCTAGGTTTTTTCCCTCCTCTACCATGTCTCCAACTAGCAAAAATTTCGGCTTGGAATTTATCACATTATCACAAAAAAATACAAATTATTTTGTGGTATTTATTCTAATTACAAAAGTATTACATGGTTGTTTTAACTATATGGAAAATTTTTTTTAAATGAAGGCAATGCAAATTACCCATACTCCACCACTCAGCTCAGAAATAACTAATAAAATAAAAAGATTTTGATATTATACAAATACGCACATAAACACATTTGTGGTCATAATGTATAAAGGGTTTTTTTCACTACTTTTTCACTTATCATTATGCACATTTCCATATCATTAAAAATTTTCATGATCATCATTAACAATAACTTACTTTCTGATTAGAGTATCAGTACATTTTAGTGGTAGAAAATGCTGAATAGTATGGGACAAAGAAAAAAAATCACTCCTACTTCCTTCCTTCCTTCTTCCCTCCCTTCCTTCTCTTTCCTTTCCCCTCCCTTCATTTTTTTAAAGGGAAAAACCCTAGTTCAACTTCTAGTCAAGAAGCCTCTGCAGTTTTCTAGGGTGCAATTAAAGGACGTTTCTGAGGGTGATGGGCAAAGAAAAGAAGGAAATAAGTATGTTGAATTGTTAGTGGATGCTAAGCAGCATGCTGAGAGCTTTTGTATGAATTGTTTCATTTATCCCATAAACCTCTAGATTCTAGAAGAAGCAGTTTCTATTTTACAGCTGTTTAAAAATGAGGAAACTGAGGTTCAAACAGGTACCTTGCCCAGTCACATAGTTTATCATGGCCAGAGCCAAGACAAATCATGGTTTTCTGATATGTCTAGTACCAAGCTGCATCATTGATTGCTATCATTTTTTCCCTGACTTATGCTATACTTTTCAGTGGGGTAGAGAAGACGGTTCTTTTTTTGGGTGACATTTGGCAACTCCTGCTCAAGCACTTAATAGTGGTGCAATCTTAATAATTCCACCTGACTTTCAAAATCTTTTGCAATCTGCCCTTCTTTTATTTAGTCAATCTTATTTCCCATCACTCCTTTTTTTGCACTATCTCCTCTTCTCAGGCTGACATTTCTATTATCACTATCCATTACATTAATTTCCATTTCCACAGTTTCTATTCTCCTCTAATCAACTTGTATACATCCTTCAATGCCCAACTTATGCACCGCCTTATGCATTTCTCATCTATTCTAGTCCTCATGACAGTAACATCTGCTCTCCCCACAGCCCTGCTCAAAAGCTTTCAGTGATAACCTTTTATCTGCTCAACAAAACACACGCTTCTTAGCTGGGTATTCAAGTCAGCCATTCAAGTCACAAATATGTACAAAGAGACATTTACGTGCCAGGTACTCTAGGTGCTGGGAGAACTGTAGAGAACCAGACAGACAGGTCCCTGCCCTTATGGTAAACAAACTGGACATTAAATAATTACAAATAATCAATTAAGTAATTATTAGTGTGAATCAAGTGATGACAAGGCCCTCTACAATCTGGTCTCAACCTATCTCTTCAAGGGTCTTTCTCATTCTTTTATTCCATCCAGATGGGATTACTTAAGCTTTCCCACCGCTGTGGCTGTGCCCATACCTTCTCTCCTTTCCTGAACACAGGTTCTTCTCTGTTCCACCCCGTAGCCCTTCAGGACCAGCTTTGGTTCTGTCTCTTTCACCAAACCCTGATAGACAACCTTAGCCTGAAGAATCTTCCCTCAATTGAATTCCTAGCATTTGCGCATTCAACAAATATTTACTGAATGACTTCCTGAAATCATTGATGAATGACTCTTCATGAGGACCTAAACACATGCTGTGGTATTAAAGATTTAAATTATATGGGGAGTTAGACTTTTCCTACTGAGAGGGGTCAAGTTTTTTTTTCCCTTCTCCTCTGGGCAGGGGAGGAGTGGAGAGCCACAAAACTATATAGTAATACATACAAAGGTACCGATAAACAAAATGACAATAAAATTGCCCAATTACTCATAATCCTACTACTTGAAAGATCTACCACTGACAATTTACTCTATATCTTTCTAGCAGTTTCTTTTCTGTTTCTGTTTCTCTCTGTGTGTCTACACCATTTTGTAAAATTCATTTTTCCTCCAAAATAAAAATTTATCAAGAAAATAAAATCTTTTTTCTTGTGGTCTTTTTTAAAACACAAAGTACCTCTATCCGTACTATCCTGCTCTCTTCTGTTTGGGGGTGGAGCAGTGTCTCTTAAACAAAACCTAGAGAATGGGCTTAAAGGCTCATCCACATCTTTTTCAGTTCACTGATCCTATGTACAAGAAGAATCTGAACATTGTTTTAGGGCATCTACTCAGAAGTCCTTTCTTAAGACCTACTCTGGATGTTCTTCAGAACAGCACTCTCACCTGTCGTCTTCAAGACCTCAAGTGTGTGGCTATCGAATGTAGTCATGCTTGTGTGCAAACCACTGAATCTTCTGCCCACAAGAACATAGATCTTCAAGTCTACTCCCTCACTTTATGGATGAGCACACTGCTCTCCAATGTTAAGTACCTCCCCAAGATCATGCAACTGCTGGCCACGCATCCCAAGATGCCAGCCCTGCCTATCTTTCCAAATTGCCCCACTGTGTCCAGTTTGTCCAACAATTAACCTCACACTCCAATTAAACAAAAAATACTCAGTGAAGCACTAACTCTTGTTAAATAAATCATATCTATTCCTACCTTTGAAGGGGAAAAGGTAAGGCAGTTTGGTAGAGATCAGGGTAGATCTTTCAGCATTGATTTGTTTTGAAACATCTCTTTGGAAATCTACATTATTATGATAGGATTAAAGCACAGAAGAAATAATTAGGGGCCACCGATCTCATTCTTTCTTAATGTTTGAGAAATGGAGAATAACAAAAGAATCTAGGAAAAGGTTCGCACTTGATCATGAACTGCAGCATCTTCTTATATGTATATTATACTTTGGTTCTTAATCTTAATTCTATAGACGTCACCATGACATGAGGAGCAATTCACCCAAGCGAAAGAAACCCACGATTGTAGAAAAGTTGTCTCTTCAGAGACATCAAAGCCACATCATCAAGTAAGGTGGTCTCTCTGAATTCTAAAAACCACGGTATTGGAATCTCTTCTTACAGGAACCCAGGAAAGGGCGGGCTGTGTGCAGTCTTCATGAAGGCGAGAACTGTAGTTTTTAATTTTTCTGAAGAACACGCCAGTGGGCCTAAAGGCCTTAATAGGAAACGAAAGGTTACAGAGGTGGGGTTGGAGGGTGCAATTCAGTCGGTGGGAGCGGAAGCTGAGCCACCTGGTTGGACTTGGGCAAAGGCAAATCCAAGAGAGGGGAGAATCCAACTGGAAGAGGGAGCTGGAGAAGAAAAGGCTCTCCCGGGGGTGCAACCCAACTCCCTTCTCTGCTCACTTTCAAAAGCTCACTTTAGGAAGAAAAACACCGGTGCTGCCCAAAGGAGCCCCTACCCATCCACCGCAAACAAAGGGAACGGCCTCCTCCAGTCTTTTTGGTTTGAATGAAGTCTGGCTTTACTTTCTAGTATTCACCCATCCCTCCTCGTGCACCCAATGAAGTCACAGCCTCTTCCAGCCGGGTGGCGTTGAACTCTCCCAGGAAATGGACAGGTACCTCGGGCCAATGGTTGGAGCTGCGGCGGGCCAATGGGAGAGAACTGCGTGACCTGGGGTTTGAGACTAAGAGCCCGCAAAAGGGGGCGGGAATGGGGGGGGTGGCGACGAGCGACGTAGGCGCAGGGGGTGGAGAGGGGTGGGCCGAATGGCTGGCGGGGCTGCCCCAACCACTGCTAGGGGAACCTGCGGACGGCTCTGCGGCGGCCAATGGGTAGGCGGATTGGCGCAGGGGCGCACCCGGGCACCGGGAAGCTCCGCCCCTTCGGGTCCGCAGGGCTGGGGCGGAGCCAGGCCCACGTCAGGTGGTCCCCCGCGGTCGGGCGGGCTGGCGGCGCTGGGGGCGGGGCGCGGCGCGGAGCGGGGAGCGGCCGGCGGGTGGCAGCGGGCACCGGCTACGCGAGCAGGTGGCCGCGGCGAAGGTAGCCAGGTCGCCCACAGGGGGCGAGCTCGTAGGCGGGAGCCCTGGCCCGCCGCGCCCCGCGCTGCGGTGAGCACTCGCGCTCGCTGCACTTGTCGCCGTGCCAGCCCCAAGCAGCCGCAGCCGGCTCTCCCCGCCCCGCCAACCCGGGCCCTACCTGCGGCCGCCGTCGGGGGAGGGGGTCCCCCCAGCTCTGCGGAGCCGCATGAACAATAGGCGGCGGCGGCTCCTGCGGGCGGCGGCAGCCCCGCACCCTATGGATCGGCCGCTCCATGGAGCCCTCCAGAGCGCTTCTCGGCTGCCTGGCGAGCGCCGCCGCTGCCGCCCCGCCGGGGGAGGATGGAGCGGGGGCCGGGGCCGAGGAGGAGGAGGAAGAAGAGGAGGAGGCGGCGGCCCCTGGGGAGCTGGGTTCCGACTCCGCGCTGCCCTACTGGACGGCGGTGTTCGAGTACGAGGCGGCGGGCGAGGACGAGTTGACCCTGCGGCTGGGCGACGTGGTGGAGGTGCTGTCCAAGGACTCGCAGGTGTCAGGCGACGAGGGCTGGTGGACTGGGCAGCTGAACCAGCGTGTGGGCATCTTCCCCAGCAACTACGTGACCCCGCGCAGCGCCTTCTCCAGCCGCTGCCAGCCCGGTGGCGAGGACCCCAGTTGCTACCCGCCCATTCAGTGTAAGGCGAAGGCGGGGCCCGGGAGCCAGGTGGGGAGGGGGGACATGATGGAGGCCTGGGGGTGGTCGCAGAGAGACGGGAGCCTTCTTCGAGGGTTAGGTTGAGGGTAGGGAATGGTTGACTTGGGTTTGGCTGTGTACGCGCGAGCTCGGGCTCTGGTGGGTGCGGTGGTTAAGATTAGAGACGTCGCAGGCCTTGCCTGGAGCCTCAGACGCTGGGGCTTCTTCACCTTCATCTGACCATCTCAGCAGCACCCTGATGCCACATCATGAAGCACCGGCATGAGAATCTCCCCACTTCCCTCTCCCCCCACCTCCCCAAACATGGATGGATTTCAGGCAAGCTGGTGGTTTCTGTCGTAACCTTAGTCCCCAAATCAGAGACCTTGCTGGCCACGTCTATCGCCTGTCCCCGCCCCTTAAAGTTATTTGCTTTGAAGGAGATGGGGGATGTCTCCCGCAGGGTTGAGCTGGCTCACAAGTCCCGGATGCCTGTGTGAACATAGGGCTGAAATGTCTTTGAAATGTCATGTTGATTTCTTGGATCCTAATCTTGTACCTCAGAAGTTGCACCTTCAGGAGTCTCAGTGTATAATGTGCTAAGTAAGAAGGGTGTGTGTTGTGCAGGGGGGCAGGTGATGGGGTGGAGAAATGATAAGAGAGGGAAAAGTATGTCATTCCCCCAGGAGAGATCAGGAGCACAAGGTACAGTGGCTAACCCCTAGTCCCTTGGCACCCAGGATGTTCAGACAATATATTTTATCCTTTTTTCTCACCCTAGATCCTCGCCTATATTTGGTATTTGCTAAATCTCAGGGGGACCATGCTCATAAGTCCCTCCCAGGATCTTTCTTCCAGTGTCCTGGTTTTCAGCAATTTCCCAGGAGCCCCCTGTTCCACACCCTGTGATAAAATTTCCTTTGTTTTTTTTCAAAGGAGTTAAATTGCCATTAAAATCCCTTAATCAATGATGCTAGGTGGTTTTAGAAGAAAGGTGTAAATAACTTCTGGTACAGTTCACACCACTTTTTATTTGAGAGCGTCCATAATTTTTTGCCTGTTTAAAAAGCATTCTATTTTTTTTAAAACTATTGGGGAACAGTGTATTTTTTCAGGACTCATCAGCTCCAAGTCAAGTCGTTTTCAGTCTAGTTTTGGAGGGCGCAGCTGAGCTCCAAGTCAAGTCAATCCTGCAACCTTGGTATTAAGAGCCTGCGCTCAGCCACCTGAGCCAACCTGCCGACCCTAAAAAGTATTCTTAATACATATT